CTTGCTAAATATCTGTATCATTATTTAGAGTTCCCTTCTTTATTAATATGTGAATATAAGAGTGACAGACAAGTCTTGCTAAATATCTGTATTATCTTTTTTTTATGCTGTAATATATTGTGATAATTCAGAAGTTCGTTAGCCGAGGGTTAAACTTTCACGTCCCGTAGCTGCAATGACGCTCACCCACGGCCCCAGAGCGCAAGGAGGTAGTGCCGGCCAAATCCCCAAAGTAGCCCAACAGTTGTGTGGGGCTTATTGGCTAATGACTAGCTATCATTCCCTTTTGTTTAACAGTTCAAAGTAAGGGACGGCTATGCGCATATAGTCCTTTTATATATTTGCCTCAAAATTCAAAACAAATGGATAATAGCATATTTTCTATAAAAAGGTATGAAGTCTTGCAGGGGTGGGGGCAAAGGGTTTATGGATATGTTTGACTTGACACGTGCAATCATAACACAGATCTCAACACCCAATGGTTGTCTGTCACAAAATCGTTAGTCAAGATTCTTAAATTAGAATAAAAAGCAAAGTGTGTAAAAGTACTCCCTATTGTTTCTCAGCTATGTCAATGAACAAAATGTAAACTAATTTATTCATAGGCAGCAGTACAAAATATTATCACAGCATCCTGATGTAGATATTCAGTTATGATTAAAGATGTTGTGAACGGAGAAATTGTGTTGGATAAAGTATTAATAACAAAAGAAACACTGTCATGATACTGAATAACAACCATTCGGTAATGTTGTTGTCATATGTTTTCAATTTGAACAATAGCTCACGGGAAATCTGGACTAAACGGCTAATTCAGAAATACCTAAGGTCCAGGAGTGGACACCCGTCATTTTGGAATGCTGATCAGAGGGAAAGCAGCCAGCCAGCAAGATTTTGGACGTAATAACAGCAATGTTTGTTGCTCTTATAACTCACATAGCCTATTCCGTGGCATCGTGGCGCGATCCTCGGAATTTCCGATCCGCAGTCCAACACATTAACCAAAACCCACCGTAAAAGTATTTTACATCATTGTGTGAGAATTAAAAGGCCTAACTCTTTTTATAAAGGTTATCGAGTCAAGTTGAACTTCAAACTGTCTGTCCGTCATTTTATTTATTTATCTGCTCGTCCGTCTATTTGTCTATTTATATTCACGTGGTTTGAAGAATATTTTCCCATGAAAAATGTTTACTCTCGTCATCCCATTGTCAACTATACACCAATTTCATACATTGCAGTAAGTTCACCAGTTGCTATCTCAGAACAGCATGCTTTTATTACTTCTTTTGTTTGGAGCAAGTTTGATTATACTGTTATTTAATCATACTTATTTCCGACCTGTCAGTGAACAAAATGCATTCAAAGTGTGAGAAATTTATTTGATGTAAAATTATAAGATTGTTAATGTTTTTTTTTATAATCAGGTTACTAATAAAAACAACTTCGACTTAACAGAAACTTTTAGGCTTTGGCGTCTTTAAAAAAAAAACTGTACACACTACTTCATTTGTTGGAGTATTTAAAAACACCACAACTTTGTTAAATATCATTTCAAAGACGTTTGATTTATTATACCGAAAAGGCTTTTGCAAAAAGCATAAAATGTACCTCTGGAGTAATTAATAAAATTACCGCTAGGATTTTATTAGTGAACTTGTGAAGATAGGTGTGTCTGTTGTATTTTATATGGTTGCTTGCAAATATATATATATTTTAAATAGTGAATAGCACGTGGAATTTGTATTAATGGAACTGACACTGTTTTTGTTTATTTTATCTGTATTTATTCATCCGTCTAATTCCGGTACACAAGTAATGTCCACCTTCCGGTAGTGATCAATATAACTACTATGCGTTGTTTTCCTCGTGCTTTAATAGTTTGTTTGTTTGAAGTTAAGCACAAAGCTACACAATGGGCTATCTTTACTCTGCCCACCACGGGTATCGAAACCCGGATTCTAGCGTTGTAAGTCAACAGACACACCGCTGTGCCACTGGGGGCTGCTTTAATAGACAACAATGTGATTATTGATAAAACGTTTAGTTGGAAATTGGCAGCGATTTGTTGTAGTTTAATCCAGTTATTACCAAACTAAGACAGAGCTGCTTTAGAACCAATCTTATTACGGGTTACTGTTTCAAATATCCAAAACTACTTACCAAAATTTGGATACAATAGTTTCTTAATAAAAAATGTTAGTGTTCCAAAATTTATGTGGTGCTCACTCACACAAGCAAATATCGAAAGAAAATCTTAAACACATAATTATAAAGAAATAACTCTTAAATATGATATTTCAATACCAAAATATTATCTTACCACGCGCCACAACTCAAAAAAGTCGCGTTGCCAAACAGCTGATTCATGAAAGAAAAAAAGACCAATATTTGAATAAAATAAGATTATTAAAACCGATTAATTAAAATAGGTAATAAAAGAGAAAGAAATGTTGTAAAAATGGAACATTGATGAGAAATGAGTTGATGAAAATAATTACTTTTTTTTTAATTGAAACTAGTGCATTTTGTAAGCTGTCCATCAGATTACCGTCCTTAAAATAATGAGTTTTAAAAGAGAGAGATACATGTTACTAGACTAGATATAACTGACAGTGCACGTCATTTCCTATAATGATATTTCTTTATTGTATACGTGTGTGTGTAGGCTTACCAGTTTCTTTCTTTTATTTCTCATGATCGCAGGGAGAAATGAACTTATTGCCAGGTATATTAAACTCCGCACGGGGAAAACAAGAACTCGAAAACAAGTGTCTAGTCACATGCAGGTATTGGCACGGCGCAAGTCTCGTGAGATACAGACCAAACTAAAGGTAAGTGGTCCATGTCCACCTATTGTTGAAAATAGTAACTTAATTCACCAGTAATTATACCTATTATTAAGATCAAAATAATATTGAAGTTATATTTATTGATATATACTGTATAACTGTGAGCTTGCAGAAATCCTCTTGTTGCACCAGAAGAAGAGTAGAAGGTATTCCAATAATTAAAAACCTCTAAATAAACACCTCATCAGTTATATTAACCAATAGACAGCATATCTGAATAAAAAAACAACAACAACAAAAAATAACGCATTAGTGATACTATTACACACGTGCTCAGTTACTGAAGCATCCTTCTGCAGCTTGTTTTTTCTTCTTTCTTTTAGCAGCACTTTGGCATTTTGGTACAATTTTATATATTTTAAAGTCTTTTGTCTACTGCTTTATGATTTAGCATCGATATCTTTAACAGTGGTGCTCGCTGTATAGATTTCAAAATTTTATGGAATTGAATACTACCTTTTTTTAGCTGTAAGATGTAGGGTGGTTCTGGATTTGTTTCTGTGGATCGATGACGGATGAACCTGTTGTGGAGATTGATTAATAAAACACTGATTAAGATGTGTAACTTTTAGAATATTTTTGTTAATTAAGCACGTACGATGCTATAGTTTTGATTAACGTTTCACAAACCTGTCTTCTTCTGATTTCCTTTTTGTTGTTGTTATATTTTGAATTTCGAGCTATTGGTGAATTATTAGCCCATGGATAATTGATTCCTAGGCTTAAAAACGTAACCAAATTATCATAAATTAGCCTAATTATTTCATCCGATATAAAGTTTAACACATACTTCTGGAATGAGAAGAACACAGCACTTACAGGTTATCGAAATACCTGTCTTGATAGGATTGTTGTGTGGAATTGGTCAATGCCCATCTGCTTAGGTCGTTTTCTTGCATCTGATGTACAAATCTATTATTTCCACAATGATATTGATACACAGTCTTTAGCGTTATGAACCGTCAGATTTACCGCTGAGCCCCCCGGGGGTCGTTTTGTACTTGATAAAATGAAGCTAATTCGTAATTTGAAGCTAATTTCCCCTACGCGGTTTCATGTCAGTTTGTTTATTTGTTGTTAAGCACAAAGTTCCACAATGATATTGATACACAGTCTTTAGCGTTATGAACCGTCAGATTTACCGCTGAGCCCCCGGGTGTCGTTTTGTACTTGATAGAATGAAACTGTTTTTTTTGTTTTTTTATAAGCGGTTCATGTAAGGTTTTTTGTTTGTTGTTAAGCGCATAGCTCCATAGTGGTATCAAAACCCGGTCTTTAGCGTTATAAACCGTGAGACTTACCAGTGAGCCACCACGGGGCCGTTTTGTACTTGACCAAATGAAGCTTTTCTTTATACGCGGTTTATGTAACATTTGCCAACTATTTAGATACGTTATGTTGTTACGTGTGTCTGATCTCATCTTTTAAAATTCACAATAAGTATCAGTCTTCCAGTTTTTAACGGAGAATATTTAGGTCTTTTTTAGAATAAAAAAACATGAAGATAAAAAACTCATTACATACAGCACTGAGGAAATTCTAAATAGGGTTTTTTAAATACAGCTATACCATCTTGCGGCTGAACCCCCTATTTTTGTGATGTGAAAAAAAATCGTGTTTATATGGTTATAGCGCAGCTGCTTACGGTATTTAACGCTTTCTGCATAATTTACATTATTCTGACGGAAGTGTTAGTATTTTTTGGCTTGAAACAGTCGCATGCAATGGCTTCTGTTGACACTTTGTAATTGGAATCCCGAAGCCGTATTGCTACTGTCAGGTTTTGTAGGCCAGATTATTTACAGTAGGTGTCTATGACTTGTCGGCGATATATTTAAAAATAAACAAACAGCAACACAGTCCACTTATTCAAAAATAATATATTTAAAAAACTCAAACGTATATACAAATGTTCGTTACACTGTTGGTTATCACAGTTGCATCGCAAGCTTTAAGTAATTGTCTCTTTTTCATCAAAGACCACATAGGCTGGTTCAATTACTTTAGAATACAACTGACAAGACGAACTATTTTTATCTGTTCTGTTATTACAATACAGTCTGTGATAATTGCACTTTAAAAATCGCTACTATACGCTCTTTATCGTTAAACTCAAAATCATACAGTCTAGATCTAAATAATAATATTTCGACACGTATTTATACTCCGAAAGAAGTCTAGAACATTCCACACAATACTAAATATTTGTTTCAGTAGTGTATACATGTATGTATATGATAGCCAATGATTTAAATAGCTAATAAACTATTGTTGTAGAGTTGTTTAAACTAGTAATATAATTTAACAGTTAATAACCATTCTGCATATAGATAGTACAGTACTTTACTATAATAAAACATACATACTTATTCTACTTTAAGTCTAGCTCCCCATGCAGTGTTACTTGACTTTTCATTGGATGTTTGTGGATTTTATGTGAACAACCATGCAATTATTGAAGCTATATTTCATGCAAAATTGCTTCCAGTTTTAACCTCATAACACCTATTTTTAAAAAAATTTGGGGGGACATGCCCCGGACCCCCGTATCATCAGCATCTAAAGCATGCTGATTGTGCTCCGAACAATATGCGTTATCCTTTGAGCTCACAAATTAGAACCCACCCATTTTAAACAATCTGCGTACAGGCCTGCTCCTGTGATCATATTCAATTTTGTATAATGGAAATAACGACTCTAAGCTCAGAAACTGGATAAAAGACACCCAAGTGTTTTTAATGAGTAATTTACTATGAGGTTTTGAGTTTTTATTTCATTATGCTCAACCGAACGGAAAGCAGGTTGTAGACACAGCTTCAGATGTTCCACGTTGTTGATTGGACGGATTTTAGGTTACTGTGTAAGAATAACTGACGTTCTTGTTATTAATTTTGTTTTTGTCATTTTAGCTGTAATTCTTGTTCACGTAAGCCTTAAACAAGCTTCATCTGTTGTTATTTCAATGTTTAATGGTTTTCCTCGCTGTTCTTACTGAAAAGTGATTAAAAAACTTATGCTCACTGACTTTAGATGTTTTATTTGTTTAAATCGACTTTTAATTTGTGAGTATATCAAGTTAAACAAGTATCTGATAATCTTACTTATTTGATATGTAAAACTAAGTAATATTTCAATGATATTTCTGTACATATGATATTTTATTTATTTATAATATTTTTATTAGTGAAGGTAAGTCTGAAATTACCGTTCGTATCACGTCAAAACAACAGCAAGCAGTAAATATGATTAGATAAGAATAGTACTCAATAGATGGCGGTAGTAGATTAATCTTAGAGTTACCCATTCAATTCGACCAATATGTTTATTGTTCGTTATTTCGATCCACTTCTAGGAACATACAACAAAAGAAGCAGCTCTTCAGTCGATGTCTTCGATGTCTTCTGCTCAGATCGTTTCTTTATTCTACAGCCAAGAACACGCTGTTAAAGAGAAAGCTTTACAGTCACTGAATAACCTGTCTTCAGCCCAGATCGTGTCTTCCACTGCCATACCAAACAAAGCTCTGTCATTGGTCACAACTCCTTTAAACTACACTGGCACACCTGTAAGTTCCTTGCTAGGTTATATACATACCTTATAGCTTTAGATTTTTTGTCTTCTGTCATGCTCTAAGCCACCAGTTTTAGAATAGGAGGATGCTATCAAAAATACTTTAAGATTACTCATGCTTTTCTACGTGTCGAGAGAAAACTCAACCCTTGTCAAGAGGAGTAAGCGTACATTCAGTCTTAACTGGGATATAAAATACATAAAAGTGAGATTGTACATTGCATACAACATTCGGTATGGCACATCTTGGTCAGTCAGGGTTGAACACAGTCAAGGCAGTATCTGAACACGTACAACATTCTATACGGTACATCTTGGTTAGTCAGGGTTGAACACAATCAAGGCGTATCTGAACACGTACAACGTTCTATACGGTACATCTTAGTCAGTCAGGTTTGAACACAATCAAGGAGTATCTGAACACGTACAACGTTCTATACGGTACATCTTGGTCAGTCAGGGTTGAACACAATCATGGAGTATCTGAACACGTACAAAGTTCTATGCGGTACATCTTGGTCAGTCAGGGTTGAACACAATCATGGAGTATCTGAACACGTACAAAGTTCTATGCGGTACATCTTGGTCAGTCAGGGTTGAACAAAATCAAGGAGTATCTGAACACGTACAACGTTCTATACGGTACATCTTGGTCAGTCAGGGTTGAACACAATCAAGGAGTACCTGAACACGTACAATGTTCTATACGATACATCTTGGTCAGTCAGAGTAAAACACAATCAAGGAGTATCTCAACACGTACAACGTTCTATACGGTACATCTTGGTCAGTCAGGGTTGAACACAATCAAGGAGTATCTGAACACGTACAAAGTTCTATATGGTGCATCTTGTTCAGTCAGGGTTGAACACAATCAAGGAGTATTTGAACACGTACAACGCTGTATACGGTACATCTTGGTCAGTCAGGGTCGAACACAATGAAAGAGTATCTGAACACATACATGTATACAACATTCTATACAGTATATCTTGGTCAGTCAGGGTTGAACAAAGTCATGGAGTATCTGAATACATACATGTATACAACATTCTATACAGTACATCCTGGTCAGTCACGGTTTAGCATAGTTAAGGAGTATCTGAACACATACAATATTCTGTACGGTACATCTTGGTGAGACAGTATCTGCTTTAGAAAGGTTTAGAATAAAACAAAAAATGAACCTCGAAATTGAAATGGTGTTATAACAATATACACAAAACTACAAAGTGCAAAAACACTCTCAGTACACAAAACATGTTCTCAACTCATTAGGAATCAATGTTATGAAACATTATAAATATTTTTATTGGTCAACGCGTTATATGGTGAAAATAAGTTAGATTGAAATGTGTGTAATGTCTAGTTTATGCATGACCTTACTTCTGTTTAAGCACTAATTAATTTGTAGTCTAACCTAGTTTATTTGTTTGTGTGCGTGGGAATCGAACCCCTATTTTTTAGCGTTGTAAATCCGAAGACCATAGTCCAACCTGAAAGAATAATGGAGCTGAAGAAGCAAGTCCGAAGTAAAATAATAATATTAATAGTTATAGAAAAAGAAAAGAATGAGAACCCATATACGGTATCGAATATTATTTTCTTTCATAAATTGCGAATATATCTTCGAAATTTCTCTCACATACGGAATATTTTTACAAATTATACATATATATATATGTGTGTGTGTGTGTGTGTGTGTTTACATCTTGTGGCGCCATCTTTTGAGTGGCTGTAAAGTTAGAACAGGATACGTAAATCTTTTAACAGATACACATTAGCGAAACAGCACGAACTAAACAATTTGAAATTTAGTTTTTCACTCCGAGACCTTTTAACAACGTTATAATTGGTATATTTAATTAAATGAAATATAAGCTGGTTACATAAATTTTAAGTATACAGTGTTTAATATTTCTGACGCTTAAATAAGCCACCTTTGTTTGAGAGAAAAGCCACATTGGGCTATCTGTTGCGTCTACGGTGGGGAATCGAGCCCTAGATTTTAGCATTGTAAATTAGTAAGTGCAGCTCTTTCTTGCTGGGGGGATAAATAAGCCTCACTCACCTATTTGTCATTGTATATTTTTCCACAATTATCAATAGATTGAAGTACTCAGTTTTATATGCACTTAAGATACTTATTTTTGTGAAAAATGTTATTTATAATATAAAACATGTTGGCTTATTTAAGTAATATCAATTTAATATTTTATTACTTGGATTTTTAGTTCTGGCAGACAAACCTCGGTCAGCCCGTTTCTTCGGAAGAGTAAGTGCTGTTAATATTTTTCACACTTCACCTAAGCAAGCTTATTGATAGCATATCTTCTGGAATGCTTTTGTTTTCGTCATTGTAAATAATTTAAGAATTGGTGCAGTTATTAAATATCATATAAATATATTTAGAATACTTTTATCAAAAAATCATAATGGGTAATACATTGCAAAAATATAACTGTTTAGACGTATATTTCCTGGTCTAATCGGCTGTGTAATACCACAATTTTGTTTTACGTTTTTCTGAAAACACAATGTTGATTCTTTCGCGCAGAACTGATAGATCATATAATTGCCAAAACCTACAACGGGGAATGTTTTTTTTTAACATGTAGCTCAATTAACCTTGTAAAGTTTGGTACAGGGATGAATAACAATATTGTATTTTGAAATTATGATGATGATGTTTTTTATCCACTTCTCAGGAGGATTTTGCTAAAATTTTGCATATGAAGATTTATTATTTTCGTACGTTATATAAAACTTTTGTTATCGTTTTTGTATTTAATTATTATTATTTAATTAATCACGGAACGTGCAAATTTTTGAATAAAAATATGTAAGTTATTTCAGTATCATACAAAAATGACTTTTTGAACTAAGTGCATTTTGGAACAAATTTTATATTCAGCTACATTCACCAGTGTAAGTTTCCTGTGTTATGTACATTTACCAGTGTAACTTTCTGGATTTATCAGCGTAGGTTTCCTGATTTATGTACATTTATCAGTGAAAGTGTTCTGATTTATGTACATTCATCAAAGCAAGTTTTCCGATTTATGTACGTTCATCAGTGTACGTTTCTTGATTTATATATATTCAGTAGTGCAAGTGCTCTGACTTACGCATGTTCATCATTGCAAGTATCCTGATTTATGTACGTTCATCAATGTATGTTTCCCGAGTCTTTCTTTTGAAGGAAATAAGTTGACGCTAATCATGTACAATATAAGATTTAGGTAAACAGACAACTTAGTTCAATCTTCTATAAAGATGAAGATCTTTAGTATCTCAGTATAATATTTATCATAGATACTAAGACTAAAGTAGCGTATGTAAACCTGGAGAATTAAGTTCACCAATGTTTATTTACTTAGATATTTCTCAGAACAAATTTACAGTTATGTCAGAAGACGTTAATTCTGTGATATGTAGTTCAATTTATATTCCCATATATATATATATATCTAGTGTCAAACCTTTCGTCAACCAACCTTATGGAATGGCCCTGAAACCACCTACTTCCGCTACAATTGGTGGTGTGAATATTTTGTCACCAACTGCATCGCCATCATGGGAGGGACGTTCCATTGCCACACATAAACTTAGATTAGTAGAGTTCTCGGCATTTATGGAGCAGCAACAAGATAATGACACAGTAAGTTATGGTAAACAAACAAAAAACAACAACAACATATAAATCTAACTTAAATATGCGTGCATCGTAAGGTTAAAATACCAAAATATTTTGTCACAAAATGGAACAAGAAATTATATTTTTAGTGTTTCGTGTGAAACTACTTGGCCTGTCTATCATGGCACAGATTATTATAACATGAAATATTTGTCAAGCGGTTACACGTTTATTTCTAGAGAAGGAATACGGTAATTAGTTTAATAAGGCTGTGAAACCATTAATTGAATAAATAGCGAATCAGTCATATAAGTAATAGGACGTATGTATATCATGTTTTAAAGTTTAAAACAGGACACGATGTATTAAGCCTACTTTCGGATTGTTGCTGAAAAACTTTTTTTATTCTTTAGTATCAGAGGCACCTATTCGTTGATATACGAGGACTCCCGAGCTATTCAGACCCAGTACTGGAGGTAAGTTCAATGGGAGTGAAGGCTATAATTAATTAATAATTATTTTTGATACATTTGTACTATTTGTTTTTGCATTTTAAAAAAGGAACTAATGAAGGATCTAGTAAACTGAAATATTGTTATTGTTTTCTTATGTTAGCTTTATAATTTTAAAAACTTGGACATGCAAAATAGAATGATGGAATCACGGTAATAAAATGACTACTTTATATCTTCTCTTTTGAACTACAGTTTACTTGAAAATATAAGTTATGTCAAGTATGTTGTTTTTATCATCTATGCATTTAAGGCCGTGGATATTAGACAAATTTACGACAAGTTTCCAGAAAAAAAAGGAGGTTTAAAGGAATTATATGACAAAGGCCCACAGAACGCCTTCTTTTTGGTAAAATTTTGGGTAAGTATTTGAAGTATATTTGATTTATTATCTTCGAAAAATATAATGAAAATCAGCAACTCTTTACTTTACTCTTTTTAATTAATCTGATATATTCTTTTGGTAAGTAATATAAAGTTAATGAATTAATTTGAGATTCTTTTAGTGAACATGTGTGTGGCGCCATCTAATGAATAAAAGCTGAAATGTACTGTATAATTTGTTTCGATCTTTTATGGCTGTTAAATATATGTAATGAAAGTACATTCTATGAATATAAGCTGTTTTTATTTAAGATGCTATAAACTGTGCTATTTCTTGCATTACAAAAGGAAAGAGATCAGATTTTAATTTTAGAAAGCAGAATTACACTTTTATAAACAAAAATTTGGCACTTATTATCAGCTGGAATTACCAAACAGAATTATAATTTATATTGCCTTTCAGAAACTTTTGTTAAGTAATTGTTTGAAGTTAAATAAACATTTTTCAAATATAATCCAATACAATTATGGTAATTTGACTTACGGTTTATAAGAATAAATTGATCTTCAATCACCTGAAAAAATGCTATATTTTGGTAATAAGCCCAATTAAAATAAGACTTAAATATTGATTTAAGTAATTTCTTAACTTCTAATTTTTTGTCATTTCTTTAAATTACTTTTGTTTTAGGCTGACTTAAACACAAGTATTCAAGATGAAGCTGGTTCATTTTATGGAGTCACAAGCCAGTAAGTTTCACACTTTTGTAATTTTTACATTTAAAAAAGCCAGTTAGTTTCAAACTTTTATAATGTTTAATTTTAACAAGCCAGCTGGTTAATTTTTTAATATATTTATGGTATTTTAACATGTAGTTAGTAAGATATACACTTTTATAATGTTTCCATTTCAATAGGAAATTAGTGAATTTCAACAAATTAATAATGTTTATGATCCAAACAAAAATTTTTGTGGAAATAAAAGTGGTTGATTAATATTTAAATTAAGTTTACAAGAACACTTTTAATTATTGATATTTGAAAGCCTAGTTTGTGTGTTGTTGCTTTTTGTTTGTTTAGTGTTGAAAGTTTAGTCTGTGTTTTTGCTTTTTGTTTGTTTGGTGTTGAAAGCCTAGTTTGTGTGTAGTTGCTTTTTGTTTGTTTGGTGTTGAAAGCCTAGTTTTTGTATTAATGTTTTTTATTTGTTTGGTGTTAAGAGTCTAATTTTTGTTTATTTGGTGTTGAAAGTCTGGTTTGTGTGTTGTTACTTTTTGATTGTTTGGTGATGGAATTCTAGTTTTTGTTTATTTGGTGTTGAAAGTCTAGTTCGTATATTGTTATTTTTTGTTTGTTTGGTGATGGAATTCTAATTTTTGTTTATTTAGTGTTGAAAGTCTAGTTTGTGTGTTGTTACTTTTTGTTTGTTTGGTGTTGAGAATCTAGATTTGTTTATTTGGTGTTGAAAGTCTAGTTTCTGTGTTGTTACTTTTTGTTTGTTTGGTGTTGAGAATCTAGTTTTGGTTTATTTGGTGTTGAAAGTCTAGTTTCTGTGTTGTTGCTTTTTGTTTGTTTGGTGTTGAGAGTCTAGTTTTTGTTTATTTGGTGTTATAAGTCTGGTTTGTGTGTTGTTACTTTTTGATTGTTTGGTGATGGAATTCTAGTTTTTGTTTATTTGGTGTTGAAAGTCTAGTTTCTGTGTTGTTACTTTTTGTTTGTTTAGTGTTGAGAGTCTAGTTTTTGTTTATTTGGTGTTGAAAGTCTAGTTTGTGTGTGTTGTTGCTTTTTGTTTGTTTGGTGTTGAAAATCTAGTTTGTGTGGGGTTGCCTTTTTGTATGTTTGCTATTATGTTATTGTGTTATTTTTTGTACATTTGGTTGAACTTATATACAAATTCACTATACTGAACGTTTGAGAGGGGTTTAAAGAAAGATGTACATATCACCACTTTGATAAAATGTAATAAGTATTATTAAACATTATTACAAGTAATTTTGGGTTAAATATTCATGGAAGAGATCAGAATTGTGTTAAGTGTTCTTGTAAATTCTAACATTATGTGTTTTGACTTCCATTGCTTTTTTTTTTTTTTCATTTGCAAAGCATTTTATGTATGGAAACACACCCTCTCATTTAGTTGATGGTGGTTCCTTTTTAATTTTCAGATTCGAAAGCACTGAAAACATGACCATTACTTCTTCTACAAAAGTTTGCTCTTTTGGTAAACAAGTGGTAGAAAAAGTGGAGGTAACCATTTCTTTTTTTTTATTACTTTATATTTTGTCTTTGCTCGTAACTTCTGGTTTTGTGGGAATCAGTTAGTATTTTTAATGAAACAAAGCTTGTGTTTGAAGTTTTTTCACTGCATCCTCTAAAAACGAGATGTGAAGATGATCCCTGTAGACTTAATACTAATGTTCTCAATGAAAGCAAGGTAAATGCTGTAGTTGGTATCATTCTTGTAGAAACCATATTTATGTGTTGAATTTCAGCCAGTAAGCAATACCAATAAGTGATACTTGAGTAAGGAAGCACATTATGCCAATATAATAATAGGTAAGCAAACAATGATTTATACCTGAATATGGCAGACCACTGTTCTGTCAAAATATGTTCCACCATTAATGAAGTTCTTCCTCATCCTTATAAATCCTTGTTTCTTTACCTATTATTACAAATAAGTGATTGTAGCAGTGATACTGAATATTGATATAATTTATTAAATATAATACAAGTTTTGAGATACTTACTAGACTGTTAAGTTGAAAAATAAGTTTAAAAGCCATAAGATGGGTTTGTATGAATGTTTGTCCCTCCAGTGGGTCAGCAGGAAGTTTACAGACTTGCAGTGATAAGATCCGGGGTTTGATTTCCTGCCCTAAAAATACACCACCATGAGAGTTCATAATCAAACACTTGCATGAAATTTGTATTTGCATGATCTCGCTACCAATGTACAGGATAACAGTATGAAAATGTTTAGAAATTCACCTCTGACTTTAGTGTAATATTATGTTTATTACTTCTTGTTTTATTTTGTCTCTTTGTCAATCAATATGACAAAAATTGGTGACATTGTTATCTAATATTTACGATATGTTTTGGATTGTGTGTATGTGTAATGTCTTTTGAAATTTTGAACAGGGAGTTTATTATGCTATTGTAATGAGATATTACAAACATTCAATCAGCAACTGAACTGGAAAAAGCAAAATGAGAATCTTTCTTGGTGTGTCAGCTTAATTTTTGTATAGTGATAGTAACAGTTTAAAATTCCTATGGTTGAATATATTCATGAAATATCAGAAATTGTTCGAATTAAAATCAAATGCCTCGTAGTGGTTCAGCGGTAAGTCAGGCGGCTTATAATACCAAAAAACAGGTTTCACTGTCCGTGGTGTTGGGCAAAGTATGGATAGCCCAAAGTGTAGCTTTTTGCTTAACATCAAAACAAACAAACATATGTTATGAGGAATTAAAACCACAGTGTATGCATTACCTAACCCTTGTGTTATCACTGGAATGTGGCAAAAAATAATGAATTTAACATGGTAAGATTATTTAAAGCTTATTTTAGTTCTGATTGAAGCTAACACATAATTAACTATTTCTTCTAATTATATTCACTCTTGTATTACGTCTTTATCTTATTTTGAATCACTAAAATGATAATAAAAAGCTAAATATTTCATTAGAATATATTTAATTTTGTAAACCACTGAGAACAGATTTTTATGATCTGCATTAAATCTTTTTTCGTTCCACAAAATCTACACATTAGGAAAATGATTGTTTGAAGAGACAATAAACAGCCTTTTATGTAGATTTTTATGCAGAATAATCATGATTGTTAATGTAAGGATTATGGCAGAGATTATATATAATGTGTATAGGAACATACATCAGAAAGATAGTCTTTCATGGAAGGCAAGGAGTTAAATAACTTACATTAATGTTATGTTAAAGTTTGCAATTATAACTTTGAAACTAAAGACTTCACGTATTAGACTTGTTACTAGTTCTCTTACTTACCAACCTAACAAAGAAAGCTTTCTGAAATGTTAACTAATTGTTTTTTTTTGGAGAAGTTACAAAGAAATTTCTTTTGCGGTGTTAAATACAAAACTACACAATGGGCTATCTGTGCTGTGCCCACCATGGATGTTGAAATCCGATCTTTAGCATTATAAGCCTACAGGCTTATAGCTGAACCACTGGGGGCCATTCTTTTGCTCATTTGAATAAGCTCTACTTCATAATTTAGATAGAGAAGTTTTTGAAATTTTTCAGCCTTTAAAATAAATGAAAAGGGAATGAATGTTTTGTGGTGGATTTGTAAGATGATCAATTAGTAAACTTAACAGTTACTAATACAATGTATTTATTTATTTGACGAACTATAAAACTCCATGTTCAGTGATGTTTAAGAAGTTCATTGTGCATCTTTGAGTGTTGTATGTATTGAAAAAGTATTTGTTACTTCTTATCAAAATCAAGTTATTGAAACTAAGTTATAAGAACGGTAATCTTTTTTATACAATAGTGAAAGGATAGGAGTATTATACAGCAAAGCCAAACTTCACTTCCCACAAAGCGTAATTTTGAAGTTCACTTTTATAGGGAGTTTGGATACTAGGTTATTGAATCTTAACACAAATACCAACCTTTGATGATACTTTTAAATAATGCAATGTTTATGTTAGTGTTTGAGTAATTTCGTGAAGACCACTTAAAAAGTTTTTCTTGTTGCTAGTGGTGTTTTAATCTTCAGTGGTGACAAAAACCCTTTGCAGTTGTTATCTAAATGTTGTATGTTCAGTTAGGACCTCATTGAGTGACTGGTTGTATTCTAATCTTCAATGGTGACAAAAACCCTTTGCAGTTGTTTTTTAAATGTTGTAAGTTCAGTTAGGACCTCACTGAGTGACTGGTTGTATTCTAATCTTCAATGGTGACAAAAACCCTTTGCAGTTGTTATTTAAATGTTGTATGTTCAGTTAGGACCTCACTGAGTGACTGGTTGTATTCTAATCTTCAATGGTGACAAAAACCCTTTGCAGTTGTTATCTAAATGTTGTAGTTCAGTTAGGACCTCATTGAGTGACTGGTTGTATTCTAATCTTCAATGGTGACAAAAACCCTTTGCAGTTGTTTTTTAAATGTCATATTTTCAGTTGGGACCTCACGGAGTGACTAGTGGTGTTTTAATCTCCAGTGTAGCAAAGAGTGCTTGTCATTTTTTTCTAAATAGTGGGTGTTCAGTTGAGATCACACTAGGCAGTTCTTTTTAAAATGTATTTTCAGTTGGGATCTCACCAAATGGCTAAAGTTGTTGAATCTTTGATGGAACAAGAACTCTTGGCAATTCTTTTTAAAATATTGTATGTTCAATTGATATCACATTAAATAGCAGGAATACATTATTTTCAATAAATTGACAGACTTACTATCACTGATAGTTTCCATTGCTTGTTCAGTATTTTGAACACACTATATATATTTTAGCAGAAATGACAAAACCAGAGGTTATATGCAAAAAATGCTATTTGCCATCTTCCTGTTATATATGATGTTTCCTGAACATTCTTAATGAAAACTAATCTAAGTTGCAAGTTTGTTTCTAAAATGAAAACAATCTTAATAATTTAATAATACGTCGGGTTATTGTTTAATAATAGATTGGGTTATTGTCAGTTCAGCATTGTGTATTACTTTACGTCACAAAATATAATAACTTATGTTTTAATTGGAAGAAGAAGTGTATTCTATGTGTATATGTATCTTTGTTTCCATTCTTAAATCTTGTTCTAAAAGTCACATTTCAGCATGTCATCTGTGTTTAATAGACTAGAGAAAATGGCAACAGTAACATACATCTGAATGTCAGAGAAGGTGGCTCTGATTATAACATTTCATTTTCTTAAAAAATAAAACTAATAAAACTTTCTATATTGACACAAAAACCAACCAGAAAAAAAAATAGACTGTTATAGCTTCTATCTTACTAGTTTTAATTGAATATGTTAGATAATTTTAATGAAAATGTACAGTTTAAAAAGATATAAAATTTTTTTTCACATCATTTAAAGTTTTAGCTCATACTGAATATGTCTGCAATTTGAAATGTTTCTAAAATTCTACATAGATATTTAAAAATCTAAATACTTCTTTTGGTAGCTGAAAGTACTGATATTTTATGCACAAAAAACCTCATTAATAAATTCATGGAGTGAAACATTTTTGAAAGATGGTCCGTTTTTGTATAGCTTAAGAGTTGAAAAAGTACGACCCACTTTCTGAGAGTAAGCGGTTTACCTGATCATCCCCAACGTGATTAATCCTTTGTATGTGTAAAATGAATGTTATCTGCTCGGGTTTCTATGCACTGCTTCTTATAATTTTTATTTTCTGAAATCTGCAGACTGAATATGCCCGGTTTGAGAATGGTCGATTTGTGTTCAGGATTCAACGCTCACCCATGTGTGAATACATGATCAATTTTATACATAAATTAAAAAATCTTCCAGAGAAGTACATGATGAACAGTGTCCTGGAAAACTTTACCATTTTACAGGTAAGGTAATGAACAATGTTCTAGATAATTTTACTGTCTTACAGGTAAGGTCATGATTAGTGTTCTAGATAACTTTACTAACTTACAGGTAAGATCATGATTAGTGTTCTAGAAAAGTACATAATTTTATATACGGTCATGAATATTGTCTCAGAGGACTTCACCATTTTATAGGTAAGGTCATGAATAATGTTAGAGAATTTCAATATTTTACAGACATGGTCATTTACAGAGTTTTATAGAGGTTCACAGGTGAGGTCATGAACAATGTCCTAAGTTATTTGAGGTGAGGTTATGAATAGTACCCCTAGAGAAGTTTATCGTTGTACAGGTAAATTAAGTAATATTAACTAGAATAATTGAAATTTTCTATAAATGATTTTATCTTTTAGTTATCAAAGCTAACAAACACTTTTAATACATACATTATAACATTTTGACCTCCAAATTTGTGTTAAATCAAATTATGATACATGAAAGTTAATTCCTAATAGGCTCAAAAATAAGTTTTCTTAGATTATTTTTCATAACAGATATCTGTTGAATATAAGATTTTATTTCATCCCACTCACTTTTATCGATACTTTAATTCAAATCAAGATTTAAAAATATAATTGTTTTTTTTTTCAAACTTTGCATTTATCAAGTGTTATCCAGAAATTAACATTCCGGTTGTCATATCAGAAGGTTCAAATTATGCACTGAACATGTTTTATACTCTCAGCTGTGAATGTGTTATGAAATTGTTAATCAATCCAAAGAACATACCACATTATATATTTTGTGATGGAGTATTGTTATAGAGTCTATCTAGGGTTCACAGCTAATGGCTTTTTGGCAAAAGAATTGAAATCAGACAAAGTTAAGTGGAAAATAAAATGTTATTTTCTTGCTTAAAAACTCTGGAGAGGTTGATTTTGAAATAAAAAAAACACTATTATTTTCACTTGACCACATGGAGGAGACTGACCAAGATTTATATTATGCTTACATTTCATTACCTGATTTTTAAACATAGACTAATAATGCAAATAAAACTAGTCTAAAACTATAATCTGCATCAAGAATATATAGGCGAAAATTTAGTGCTATGTAACAATGATGAAAAAAGTATAGAAAACAAAACCAAATAGAGAGAGAGTAAAACTTAAACATTTTTTCACTTTAGCCTATTACGTGCCAGCAAATTAGATGTTTTGTAATTGACAGTTTACTCCAGCAGTCAGGTTAAATCTTAAAAGAAGAATGTATCGAAATTAAGCAGTGTACACAAAGTTTGTTGGTTATTACAACAAAATAAATTAATCTGTATTGTAAAACAAAACTACGTTGAAGATGGATGGAGTAATTGCCATGTAAAATTTTAGCTGTGTGTTTTCTAATGTGAAATATTAAACCGTATTATGTTTATTTGTATATAAACGATGAACTAAACTTAAAATGATCAACGCAACAAATTAAAATAATAAATTCATATGTAGTTTAAAATCAGCAACTTTTGTTGTTGTTGTTGAAGAAATAAGATTTTCACCTTAAAATAGACTGGACATGACCTGTTGGTAAACGTACCTGAACTGTAAATCCGTTAATGTGTTAGAAGAATGATGGTTAAATTCCAGTATTTGGTCTGACAAGAATAGTCCAAGAGTTGGCTGCAGACATTATTGACTAGATGTGTGGCGTTTTCAGTTGTTAAATATGCCTTATTAACGATCTCTAGTGGGTTAACTTGTTAATTCAGTTGGTAGAGTCATCTCTAGTGAGTTAACTTGTTAATTCAGTTGGTAGAGTCATCTCTAGTTTCTACCAACTGAATTAACAAGTTAACCGTCGTCTCTAGTGAGTTAACTTGTTAATTCATTTGGTAGAGTCATCTCTAGTGAGTTAACTTGTTAATTCAGTTGGTAGAGTCATCTCTAGTGAGTTAACTTGTTAATTCAGTTGGTAGAGTCATCTCTAGTTGGTTAACTTGTTAATTCAGTTGGTAGAGTCATCTCTAGTGGGTTAACTTGTTAATTCAGTTGGTAGAGTCATCTCTAGTGAGTTAACTTGTTAATTCAGTTGGTAGACTCATCTCTAGTGAGTTAACTTGTTAATTCAGTTGGTAGAGTTATCTCTAGTGAGTTAACTTGTTAATTCAGTTGGTAGAGTCATCTCTAGTTGGTTAACTTGTTAATTCAGTTGGTAGAGTCATCTCTAGTGGGTTAACTTGTTAATTCAGTTAGTAGAGTCATCTCTAGTGGGTTAACTTGTTAATTCAGTTGGTAGAGTCATCTCTAGTGAGTTAACTTGTTAATTCAGTTGGTAGAGTCATCTCTAGTTGGTTAACTTGTTAATTCAGTTTGTAGAGTCATCTCTAGTTGGTTAACTTGTTAATTCAGTTGGTAGAGTCATCTCTAGTTGGTTAACTTGTTAATTCAGTTGGTAGAGTGTGATGTGCGAGAATTCTAGTGTTCGAAACTTAGCCGAAGAAATAATAAAATATGAATTACAACAGCTGCGTTCTTTTTTGTATATCAATTGAAAATTAGAGATGGCGATGCAAAGATAGGCCTTGTGTATCCTTCAATAATAACCAGTGAAGGTCTCAATTGAAAGTATAATTTGTAAGGTGCCTTTCTCTCCGGAAAGTATCATTTGTAGGTAGGAATGTTGAGACATTAAATAACAAAGGTTGTTAAACATTTAGAGTGTGGAACGATGGTTGCATAACACAATTTTGATTTGGTGTGGTTTTGTAACAAGAGTAAGTTAGTTATTAGGTATATAAATTCCACTTTTTTTTAAGATATAAATGTATTGAAATAACTTCAGCTTAAGTTGAACGTTTTTTTCGACATACTTCGTGTGTATAAAACAGTAGTAGATGGTTGGTGGATTATTTTTGTTGTTGTTTTTCACAGGTTGTAACGAACAGAGAAACCCAAGAGACGCTGTTGTGTATTGCCTATGTTTTTGAAGTGTCCACGAGCGATCATGGAGCTCAACATCATATCTACAGATTAGTGAAAGACTAACATATCGACATCAGTTCTTCATTTTGTCATTCAGTCCATCTTACATTTCTCTCCAGTGCCTAGAATCCCATTTCACTGTGGCCTAAACCTGTACATAAGTTATTATATGGATGTAGTGAACAAGCTCTCCCAACATCAACTGATTAAGGGAGCTGGCTGAAAACTTTTCAGATATTCATGTTTATTTTTTACATACAGTGTGTGAATTTTGACACTTCTTTGCTGTATTGGCGCATTTTAGTATACTTTCGAACATAAGGTGTTGTAAAATAAAATTGAAAAAAAAAAAATAGGAGAAGGTTACTTACTTGTTTACAACTGTATCCGAGTAGATTCTGACGACAGCCGTTAAGATATTTCCCATGTGACGTCAATCGTCAATAGAAACCGCTGTACAAGAAAATCAAAGGGAATAATACTATTTTTTGTTATAATTTTCACTTTGTTTCTCTTAGTATTTTTTGTTTACTTTGTAAATTCTTAACTTCGATTTTAGCATTTTAAAGTCACTGGATCAGAAATTATTTTAAGCTTAAAATAATAAACGATATTTTTTTTTTCCAGTGCATGGCAAATTGTGATTTGTATATTTCTTATATCTCCAAACAAAATGGTATAACAATAAGAATTAAACATCAAAATTGAATAGCACGAAGTCTGTACCAATACCTTATATTAAAAATAAAATATGTTCACCATTGCATGAGTGTAGAATTTTAGATTTACCAATTTTTCTATAAGTCTGATTTCAGTTGCTTTTTTTTCATGTGACGATTCGTGTTTTGCGACCTGTTGCCTCAAAAACGTGCTACACATTTTGGAGGCATGTGTGCTTATTAATGATACAGCCAAGTTCCACTATTCGATCAGAGAAGAGCAGCCCAAGTGTGTCCTCGAGTTTACAGTTGTTTCAGTGCAAACACGAACTAATATAAAAATAGTATAATGTTCATTTCTCTCCATTGAGCAGACCAGTGAACTGTTATAATATAAAAAAAAACAGCCTGTGATTATTGATCACGATTTTCAAATAAATTATTAATAACAAAGTCGTGTATGAACAACGTGTTTTTAATACATTTAGAAGCGTTTGATTGAACACGTGCAAGAAAAATCGCGTTGTAATTTGGTCATTGAATTACAATGTTTCTATTTAATAATATGTACAAAACAGAGAGGGAGAAAAAAAACTGACGTAGTTTAAAATATGTTCATTTAAGTTTTTGAAAAATTCGCTGGTATTAATTAAACTCATATAGTAGCTTCTCACACCATGGTTTCTAAAAGTTTTAATTTGTAGTGTTATTCCAAATATACTTTTTTATATGAATTACCTAATGAGTGGCATAAGAATTGTGAGTTACACGTTATGACAATTGTTATTTTACTTACCATTTCAATAGGCGGTTCTAGGTAAATTCTAGCTGTTGAACATAGCAGAAATTAACGGTTATCAAAAGATAGTTCCTGTGAAATAGAACTTGCTAGGTGCTTTCTAGTAATAGACTGAATTTACATACTTCTTGGCAAGTGCTTTCTTAGAACTGGAGTACATTGGTGTGAATTGACATATCACGTGGTATATATATTGTTAGAACTGGAGTACATTGGTGTGAATTGAGATATCACGTGGTATATATATATATATATTGTTAGAACTGGAGCACACCACTTGGAAGATGTGTTATCAGAACTAGGGTACGTTGTATTAAACTGGTATATTACGCGGTAGATGTATTCTTAGAACTGGTGCACACTGGCTTGAGTTGACTTATTACTTACCTAGTGCTTTCGTTGAAATATAATAAATTGGACCAAACTCACTGACTAGTGGGCGCTCTTTTATATCTTTATTACATTCCGTTAAGCAGATATATATCACACGAACGATGCTGTTCAATTGGATTATTATATGATAAGCACTTCTTAAAATTTAGGTTAGTTGTAGAAACATGTATTCGTAAGTTTTAAGATTTCGTCAATATGGGAGCTCTTTCTTTCTTTTTTCTAGAATAATGTTATTAAAACACAAATTTTGAAAAGTTCTAAATCATTTAAATTTGTGGAGACTATGCAGATAAAGTATGATTCTGTCATAACTATAAAATGTACAGATCTAAAGATTACTTAATAAAATCAACCGGTTGGTCTCTGTTAACAGAACGCAGAACTATAGATTTTAGTATATTTTTGATTTCAATTTATTTTAATTGAAATTAATCAATAAAAGTGCACTGTTTCATATACAAGAAAAATGCACGTTTATTTGGTAGTTCATTCTTTATTCCCTATGAAAATTATACAATTATTTTCCCAATAGAGTAGGGTCCTGGGTATATAACGCATAATTTTGAAAACGTAATGATGTAAGCTGTCACGTTACATTCCGAAACTTTAAAGGTACAAAAAATTGTTAGTTATGAAAATTAGTTTCTCGAACGATCGGGGAAGTCCGGGTGTGTCCGAGATGCCCTCTTCGTTACTATATAAGCCTGGCAGAGAAAGCCAGCAGTTATATTTGAGTGGAGGGGGTGCTATAGTTACTTTG